TTTATGGTGCAGGGATTGTAAATAAACAGTGTTACTACTGTAGTAAATAAATGCAACGTGCGTAGATTATGAACGACGTCATGGACACAGCTCACATGAATGTATGTATGAACGTGGTACACAGGCAGATCAGGTGATATAGTACATGATATGAATGATAATATCTGTAGTATACAGAAAATGAGGGTGTATTTCAGCAAAAAAACACCATCGTAATATGTATGGCTTCCGACAGCTCCTTTCCTTACTTTACACACGGTTGCTAACCATGCTTTACAGAATGCAAACACGTGACGTGAAATATGAGTCACCCAATCGATCATTCAGTGTGCAAAAACACGTCACCTGAGTAAATGTAGGAATGATCACTTGGCTCATAGATATCAACGTTTGTTTTATACTTAGTATAACTTGGATACGTACGTTAATGGCATGTATCTGTGTGTTTTAGGTGTACCTTGGTACTAGTACATCAGATATACATATATGGCAGATTACTTATAACTGTTCAAAACACTTAAGAATATTTTGCGGAACAAACATCAAAAAATGGGAAATGTGCTGGCTAAACTACAAACCAGGAGACTGGATGGAATTACCAAAACTAACTTGAAGATGCATCAGTTTGACAAGCTTTTCCGTGCGGCTGGGGAATCAGGAATCTTGATACTGGAAAGGTATGTCAAGACCGATGCAGAACTAGAAATGGCTATAGGAAGCAGGAAGCAGAAGAACATGAATGTTGATAATGTTCTCTGCCTTCGATTAGTTGGTACGCGGGTGAAAACCATACCAGTCAGTATCGGTATTTTTAGTCATCTCGTTGACTTGGATCTTAGTAACAATTATATTGATGAACTACCATGGTCTATAGTCTATTTGAAACAACTTGAAATTATGAACCTATCATACAATCTACTGACGAACCTCCCATGTTGTATCGGTTGCATGAGAACACTGGTCAGTATCAACCTCTGTTACAATAATATCACTTACTTACCAACCGAAATACTTTATTTGACCAGACTGGAACAACTCGACGTGACTGGAAATAAAACTCTGATATCCCCTCCCCTGACTAAAGCTGAGAAAGGTGTTGATGCGGTGATGGATTTTTTAAGAATGAGGTCACAGAGAAAGGATATGTGGGGGAATAGGAATCAGAAACCTGACTTTGAGAAGTCGTTATTTGAACTGTGCATCAACTGTATATTGAAGTATAAGGTGGAATTCCTCGAACTTTCCTACGTCCCTCCAGTCATTAAAACTCACTTGCTTGAGTGCACCAACAAGATGGGCAAGTTTGCTGTCAGCAAATGCAGCAGGTGCAAATGCTATTTTTCCACCACTGTAAATTTTGAAATGCATTTGTGCAAGTAGTGAAGTACTTTTGTGGCGTAAAAATGACGTAGATTGGTGTAGGCAATGGAGTACTTGTGTGACGTAAAAATGACGTAGATCGGTGTAAGCAATGAAGACAATTTTGTTATTGTCCGATGTACCAAGCAAGCATAGCTACTTTGTTAACAAAAAAAGGTTGTTATAAAGCTTTCTACAAGACATCAATCCCAAATGCCATGACTAATGTTCACATTGGATTCCAAGTTAACGTGTCCTCTGAATATAATCCGGTAATTACCCGGTATTAATTAAATAACTGTAGTATTTAACCCAGATGGTTCACATTGGATTCCAAGTTAACGTGTCCTCTGAATATAATCCGGCAATTACCCGGTATTAATTAAATAACTGAAGTACTTAACCCAGATGGTTCACATTGGATTCTACCAAAGTTAACGTGTCTTCTGAATATATTCCGGTAATTACCCGGTACAAATGTATTAATTAAATAACATTTAAGTAAAGATGTTAAAAATCAGCCTTGCAAACTGTAACCAGAATGTGAATGAGGATTCATTGAACTACTGGTATATGTTTTGCAAGTATTGTAATAGAATTTTAATATTTACCAAGATGTCTTACTATGAGAAATATTTTTACACTTATATATATAGCTTTATTCCACTAACAGTTTTACATATTAAAAATATATTTTCCATGACTACTACTGTTTATGTCTCCTTCCTCAACACAAAGCCACAATCCCTTTGACCCTTAAAGAGCGGTAGTCGTCACGCTGTGCATGCGAGACATTTGTGTTGATAAACATTCATTTTCCCACAATCCAATGCACTCTTCTAATGGAAATCACAAGCATGAGGTTTGACCTGGGTGCCACTCACACAAATTACCTTTGATACCTTCAAATCACTTAAAAAATACCTAAATAAAGCTTGGTAACGTCTCAGTTTGTACTCTGTGAATCTTCGCAATAGTCATAGTCGTCATGCGTGATGTGACTATCGCCCTTTAAGAGCAGTCTTCAACGGGTATTAAAAGATTTATGTCTACAGATGTCCTGATAGCATGATAATGAAAGCATGATGAACATGACATAAACTTCAATTCAAACTTTCTAATAGTGTTAGACCACGTGCTGTAGTCTATGCATACAACAAGCGTTTAGATGATTCACACTTCACGATATAAAAAAACATCAAAGAATGAAATCATATCAACACATAATTCCAGAAACTAGTATTTTATTACAACGTATATACAATGAGCAACAGCAGTCTAGTATATACATAGATACAAAATATACATGTGATTTGTATTCACAAAGGAGGATAATTACATTTTAAAATGATAAATGTTTAAACATAATACACTTCTAAAAAAGTAAAATTCATTTTGAGCCATCCATCAAAGTTACAATAGGAGTATTAAAAAAAACGCCAAAAATAAAAATCATGAAACAAATTCTATTCATTCTCAACTTCTTCTTCATCATCGTCAGGTCCTCCTCCCTCCGTAGTTGCCTGGGAGATGTCTGTTTGTCTGCTCACGCCTCTCTGACCTAGAAAAAAGAAAGAAAAGTGGCGAGGTATTATATACCATTGCAGACTACATGTGTAAACAAACACTGTATGTCTGTGGCCCTGTGACTGGGAAGCAGGGATCCATATGTACATAACTAGAAGATGTATTGTTTACAGGCACTCAAGTCGCCAGTAAAATTGTATACATTTGGAACTTCAGTTCATATAAAGAATCAATTTTGAATACCGGTAGAATAAGGTAGTTTTGCATTGGTTACCAAAGTATTGGTAGATCTATTTAAAAAATTAATTAAATTAAATTTACATGTGTAATTAAAATTATGTATATTCTGGGTGTACCAGGAATTGTTACACCATTAACATACCTGGTGTTGTGGGTCCGCCTGGAGAACCAAATATTGACCTGAACAGCAGGAGAACAAAACACATATGTGAGCTACGTAGACACGCACATAAGTAATTTTTAATTCTTCATAGTGCAATCAAACATAAATCGCAAACTCACATGCACAGCAAAAGTGAAGATCTATGCTGAATAAATATTCCTGCAAATCAAGACAGCACACACTAACTGATCATGTCAAGCACTAACAGTCGCACCAAGTGCACACATCGCTAAGCAGAGGTCTCAACTGACATGTGATTTTGTACATGCAATTGTTCTGCAAATGCTGACGTGGTAATGAAAATACATGCATGCATGCATGGAAAAAAAAAAAAGAGGCAAAACAAAAAAACTAAATAAAAGCGGGATTGAATTAGATAGAGTAAGGATGGGTGAATGGTTAATGATAAAGGAGATTAGTTGTTAAATTCAAGCAATAATATTGCAGAAAAAAATCAAATGACATGATGCATGCACTCGTTCATGCACCTTGCACCTTGCTTCCATTTCACGGGACTTCCTTTGATAGCATCCTGTAAATTATATAAAACAGCAACACGTATAATATTGATCTGACATGTGAAACAGTGCCCTCGGTGGTGAGCATGATATATGTGCTTTCTTTGTCAAACAAAGAATACACTAACAGCATGTGATGGATTTTTTTCTTCTATTTTTAGTAGATTGCTTGCAAATATTGAAGATTAGCGACATAAACATGATAATGTAATGATAACTAATAAAATACAATGGAAAATGTTAAAAGTTTTTTATGAATGAATGTATTAGTATATTATTTGTATAAGTAATCTGTTATGGAAATTATGTTCGTCTAATTGAAATACTTGATAATTATTGCCCTCAACATCGTTAATGAAGGACTTACCCTCTTCGTGATTCACTTTCATCATTCTCTTCTTCTTGTTCAGACCCAATCGGTGCCAATGTGGCAGAATTGAACTGATTCAACGGCTCACCTATGATGCCAACTCTACAATATCAAAGTATGTCACACATTATTGATGACAACAATTATAAACCTGGTCAGAATTCAGCACCAGATTTTATAATACACAAATCTAGAACACTTCATAATGATCAAACAGCCTCGTCAAAGAATGATGCGTAACCCCTGCCACCATACCAGGGATATTTATTGATGAAACAGAAAAAACATTTGGAGTAGGGGTTAGTGAGCTTTGCCAACACTGAACATGTGAGAGTAAACATGTACTTACCGCACATTTCGTTTTTTCATAGACGTTGATGTAGTATAACCATCGTCCTCTTCAATTTCATCATACTTGGGATATTCAGGCAAACCCCTAATAACAATAGCATAGATAAGTATAGCTCTCGGCAATATAACTTTATAGTAGTGGTTTTAAAATATTAGATATTATGACCTGTACACTGAGTAAATCAACACAATTAACTCACCCTTCCGAATTAGGACGCGGCTTTGTGAACAACCAACTGGCTTCTTCTTTGGGTGATGGCAACACGGAAACCAGTACTGGAGATCTTTGACTGTTTGGCAAATGAAACACATACATCAAATGATATCGAAATATTAATGTGTCAGAAATATGCAATGAATGAATAAAAACAAACAAGAAAACACAAAGACTTACTTAATTATACTCTTTATAGCAGGCCTATTCCTAGAATGAAGAAATCACAACAAATATTTACTCAAGCATAAAGAGTTGGCGTTGTCATTTTCTGTTTTCAACATTGATGTTTGATTAACAATATCAGAAATGACTTACGAATGATGTCTCCTGTACTCTGCTGGTGATAACTTCTTTTTACCGTCTTCTTTCACTTCTTGGGTGGCATGTTTCACCCTCAAGGCTGGATTGAATACATCAGATCGTAGCATTCTGTGAATGGTGCATATAAATATGTTGGCTTTAAATAGAAACAACCACATGCATATAGTTCATATAGTGTGTATTTAATAATTTGAATGAGTTTAATGATTCTGGTTAATGTTTCACCTACCTCCCAATTTCTTTACTGACCAATTCAAACTCTTTCCTTCTGAATACCACCCATACCACATAAACACAAAATTTGTAAAAAGTCTACAGAAAAACAACAACGAAAAATCAAATTTACTTATTGGGTTCTTCAAAATTGAAGTAAAATATATGACTATAAATAGTAGATAAACTTGATAGAAACTGATTGTCTTACCTCATATGTTTCCCTGTCTTTGTAAGTTGACGAAACTCTTTGCCTGTAAATAAGACAATATAGCGTCAATAGCATAGCTAAATCGTAGCTAGTTGGATGGCAAAATGAATATTAATGAGCTCATAAATATTAATTAGTGACCCAAACTCAAATCAGTCTCGGCAGAACCCTGGCGTGTAAATTTCCGCCATAATATACAGAACCCAAAGCTCAGCAATCTATGTTCTACAATATCTCAGAGCAATCAGAATTATGTCAGACCATGACAGGATGCTCAACATCTACAATCACAAATCCTATGTACTGGTAAACCAAATCTAGTATGGGACATTTAACTGATGACTGCAACCAACTTGATACTTACTGACCACAGCCCATGTGATGAAACTCTTCTATTCCCAGACCCAACACTAAAATGCAATAACTCTGAGCAAGCCTTTTTTGCGCTGCATCCAATTTCACTGCCATTTCAGCCATAAATTTCTTTTCAGC